AATTAAAAAAAAAAAATGTCCAAGATACAAAATGCATAGATATGCTATATACTGAGTTTTTCATTTTTTTTTAACAGACCTCATTAATGAACTGGAGAAGCTTGTTGACAGTCTGTCTAGTCAGCCAGCGATGGAAAATGAAGCCCTTTTACAAGAGGCGCAGGACATCCTTGATGAGATCATGGCCAGAGATTTCAGTGATCAAGAACTCGCTGCAGAGGACGAGTTACAGTGAGTAGTTTGAAAATTATTTTCACTGAAGGAATGATTCAGTGAAAAAGAAATCCAGCGAATATATATTTTACATTCAAGTCATCACAAATCGGTGCAACTAAATTCCATTCAAAACACCCAAAAAATCTTTTCAGCGAAAATTAATTCATGTAAAAATACCTTTTTTCCTATTTTAAACATTCAACTCGGTGAAAATAACCTTCTGACAACACAAAAAAATTACTTCTCAGCAAAATTTAATCATTAAAGAAGTAGGAGTATTTTATAGTAAATAGATTTGAGTATTTGAGGCAATCACAGGTACATCTTGTGAAAGCCACCTACAAAATTTGTTTCATTTCTTGATGATGAATTATCTTTAAATATTGCAATATAGATCGGCGAAGGATGCTCTGAAGAAAGCTAAGAAGAAGTTCATGAGGAAAGTCGAAGAAAACAAAGAGTTAACTGACCGTGTTAATGGTACTCTAATGGATCTTATGATGAAATTCATGGAGTTAATCGAAGAAAGTCAACAATCAGAGAAAACATCAGACGATGTTATAAAACAGAATGATGCCAATAATGACATGATTAATAATATTCAGGTTTGTGTTGCCATGGAAATAAATTTTTTCATTGGGTATTGACTTATGAAAGTCACTGGTAAGGATTTGTTGAGATTGCCATGATGGATAGAAATTCTTATTTGTGGCATTATTTTTACTTCATTCGTAAGTACCGTAAAATCTGTATTAGAAGCCGCATCTCTAATAGAAGTCGCACCCATTCTTTTTGAACAATTGAGAACCAAAAATTCATCATTTCTCATATGTGTAGATGCTCTAATAGAAGCCGCATCCCCTCTGTTGCATTGTATCATTTCAATAGAAGTCGCGGCTTCTAATACAGATTTTACAGTACTACATTCATTTAGTAAGTGACAAAGGTCTTCTGTTGTTTCTATATGGTATTTACTTATATATGGTTGTTATATTTTGACTGTAAGAACACAAGGCCCTCTAGAAAAATTATATGTACTAATAATATATACACATAATGTAAATAGAACATAAATTAGTAGTTTTCTTCTTTTCAGGATAAAATAAATGAGATAAAAAAGAACCAAGGTGAGATTGTTGGAATACTAGACATGGGAAGACAACTCTTAGAAGATGCTGCGGATCTATTAGCTGAGGGATATGTAGCACTTGAGGTATGATTCTGATGACTCGGTGGCCCTCAATGGCACTGGACCACTATCACAATAGACCATTTTTCATTCACTGTGAGATCATTTTCGCTGGAATAAATTTTCGCTGAAAAGGCTTATCGGGCGTTTTGTGTGGAATTTATTTTCACTGATTTTTGATGAGTTTAATGTGAAATATAGGAACAAAAGTATATTCGCTGGATTTTATTTTCACGGCATCACCCCTTCAGCGAAAATAGCGAAAATAAATTCCAAGTGAAAATAAAGTATTCTACAGTATGTGGGAAATCAAATGTAAAAACAGAACAAGCATTGCATTATAGCATTGTACCCGATTCTGCCATAAATTCGCCCTCTGCCTTTAGACCAAACATGCAACAAATTAGAACAGTTGTTAGGTTTTTACATGTACTGTAAATGCATTAATTATTCACTGGGTTTTAATTTCGCTACAATAACAAAATAACAATAAATCTCATATTTCTTTGACAAATTCGTAAAAACACAGTGAATATGCTCGAAACATCAAAATAATGAAACTAAATATCAAATTGGGACAATTGTTAGGTTTACATAGTTTATAGGGATTTTATTAGCAAATCTATGTAGAAGGCACTATAAGAGGTGTTTAGTTTTGACGTAAATCCAGTTGCTATTTTGGATTTGCTGTGTTTTACCGTAATATCAGGGGTTCTTCTAGAAAAAAAATGCAAGAGGGAGCAATGCAATTCAGCGGCGCCACCAAGTGGGAGAGATAGGGTTCTCCTTACCAGGGTGTGAAGTTTTTGATAATTCTAAGTTAAAATGGAGCATTCTATGGCTTCCGTGGGCCAAAATTACTATCAGACTGGCCACATGTGATCCCTGGTCAATCAGAATTTTATAGTTGCCAGAGGATCTGCTCCCCAGGGTAAGGGGGCGCATGGCCATGGCATGAGAGCACTGCACCCCTGTTCCCTTGTTTAAAAAAATCCCTGGTAATATGATACTACAACCTTATATTCCATAATGATAATATAGTGGAAAGGATGAGGAACAATATACATGTATTTGTTTCAAAAATTTTGCATTGTACAGTACGTGTTGAGGCAAAGAGTGGCCAATTTTGTTGGTTTTTTATGGATTTCGCTATTTCTTGTTCTTTATTAGGAGACTGTGGTACAGGCTGAAGGTTTGAAAGATTCGTTGCCTGATTTGAAAAACAAAGTTGGTCTGCTACAACAGAATATGATTGGACTGCCTGAACTTGTTGTTAGAGCTGAGAGACATGCTAGAGAATTAGCTGATTTCGCTAATTACTTAGAGGAGTGAGTATGATGTTGTTTCAGTGTGATCAGATTTGTTGGTACAAATTCAGAATTATATCGATCCATTTCAACCTTGTAACATGATTAAATTCTTGACATGTACAATAAAACTGTCTAACAGCGCCGCCAGTGGCAAAACAGAGAAATGACAATTTTATTTTAGAATTCAATAAATTATGAAAGAGATTGTTTTGATCTATCAACATGAATATTAAAAAAAAATGTGTTGCTGAGGGCAACGTTATGTGTTAATAATTGTGACTGAAGAGAATAGAACTTCTTGCAATTATATACATACATGTATCATACCACCTGGGGAATGCTATAATTGACCAATCACATGGGTGGGATGCCAACTTGGGAATTAACTTAACCGGATTCATTTTCCACTCTTCTGACCAAAAAAATTTCATGTATAGTTTGTTTCAGGATACTCGTGATTTAGCAGAAATTCCAGTCCAGGCAGCTGAAGTGTACAATGACATAGTAGAAACTTTGGATGATGCCAATAAAACTGCCCATGAAGCAAAGATGCTTGCTGATGAGGCTTTGAAACAGGTAAGAAGATTGTTGTCTATTTCTGCCACCACATGATGAGAAATCGTTTCAAGCTGGGTGAAACATGTGAAGCCATGGAATATTGTCAGATTGTAGTATTTATATTATTACCGGTAGTCCCATTTCAAACGCAGTTAAAAAACACAGACTTATGTGTTGACCTTGGTGTGTCCATTCATCAGTCTCCAGCTCTCGGACATGCCTTGTCTGATCACATTTGCCCTTTTCACCACCAGGCTCCAACCAACATTTTTTCACACTTAAATATTTCTGGAAATGACCCCTAATTTTGTAGACAACAAACACAATTTGAGGCAATTTTCAGTGTTGACTAAAAAAAATTTGGTTATTTTGTCCCAATCTTCTGAAGGAAAGAGCATACTATAAACAGGACTATTTTGTGAATTTGTTTCCACGCCAAGTTTGTGTACTTAAATCCCAGTGAAACAGCTCAAAGCATCAAATTGTAAAGTACTTGCCAGTGAAAATAGTTTTACAGTGACACAAATATTACCAAATCTGATGATTACTTGTTGCTGTATGTGTAGGCTTCTGAAGGCACAGGTACAGAAGAGTCTTTAGCTGACAGAGCTATGAATTCCAAAGCAAGAAGTGAATCCTTAGTTGAAGGAGCAGAAAAGAAGACGGACAAAGTATTAGAACTAGAGGACAGATTAGAAGATGTGAAAAAGGATATTGATACTATCAAGAGTTCATCAGAAACAATCAAAACTACCAATGATGCCATCAAAGCTGAACTGCCAAATTTTGATAAAGGTGAGATGAAAATACGGTGATCGTAATACTTTGTCTTGTTTTATGTCAATCAATTTTTGTACAGTTGGATTATAACAGCTTACAATTTCACTGAACATGTTTTTACAATGTGTGAATGCCATTTGATTGATTACTGTAAAATACTTCATTTTCGCTTGGAATTAATTTACTCTATTTTTGCTGAAGGGGTGATTCATTGTAAATAAAATCTAGCAAATATAACTTTTTTCCTATGTTTGACATTCAACTCATCTAAAATTGGTGAAAATAAATTCCATACAAAAGTCCTTTTCAGCGAAAATTTATTTCAGCTAAAATAAAGAATTTTGCAGTATTATAAATATTCAAGTTTATAATTGAATTTATTGTACATGCCTTCAATATACATTTTATATGAAGTATATTAAAACATTACATCACTGCATGAGCTCATACAATGTCCAAGTGCCGTTTGAAATTATAAATAATTGATATTTTAATGCCTTAATCTGTTTCAGTGCCTTCATATGAAGTTGGCAGATAATAAATTAATTTGACAATAAAACTTATGAATTTGTATTATTGCCAATTATTATTGTCGATGCATATTCGTAAGCCCATCATTGCAAAACAAGGTGTAATTTTGAATTATGGAACACAGATTGTGTCAACCACAAAAGTTCAAATTGTCATTCTCTTGAACCATACTATTTTACAAATACATAACCCAAATGTTGCTAATACTCAAAAATAATTGTTTCAGAGTTGAGCCAGAAAGCACAGGATGCGTTACAGAAAGCACGAGGAGCCTCCGTGGCTGCGGCTGCTGCTAAGCAGAAGACTCAAGACGTTGTTGATCTTTTACCAACTCAAAAACAGAAATTTGAAACTCTGCAAGACAACACCGTGAACACAAATGAGAACATGGATATTGCTGAACGAAGCTGTAAGTTAAGAGAAAAATATAAAAGATTAATTATTCCGTCTAGAGATTGAAAATTCTAAACTGTGATGTCATCACATTGATGTTTAATTGTCCCTTTATATTTGCAAAAAAATGTCATCAATGAAAAAGGATTTCACTAAATTTGTATTATTCAATTTTCAGTAAATCGCGTGCAAAATGCCCTTGGCCAGCTTCAAGACTTAACAGATACCATGGCAACCAAAGCAGCTGCTATCCGCCAGCTGCAATCTTTGATGGCGAATAATCTGACTGAGATTAAGGATAAAATAGAACAAGCACGAGGTCAAGCTAAGAGTGTAAGTTAATTTATTCAAGAACTGAGGTTGGCTGTATTGCCTTAGAATTGAGGTTTACTGTGATAACCTAGAACTGAGGTTGACTATGATGACCTAGAACTGAGGTTGACTAAAATGACCTAGAACTGAGGTTGACTATAGTATAGTGACCTAGAATTGGAACTGAGGTTGACTATAGTGCCCTAGAACTGGAACTGAGGTTGACTATAGTGACCTAGAACTGGAACTGAGGTTGACTATAGTGACCTAGAACTGGAACTGAGGTTGACTATAGTGACCTAAAATTGAGGTTGACTAAAATGACCTAGAACTGAGGTTGACTATAGTATAGTGACCTAGAACTGGAACTGAGGTTGACTATAGTATAGTGACCTAGAACTGGAACTGAGGTTGACTATAGTGACCTAAAACTGAGGTTGACTATAATGACCTAGAACTGGAACTGAGGTTGACTATAATGACCTAGAACTAGAACTGAAGTTGACTATAATGACTGAGAACTAGAACTGAGATTGACTATAATGACCTAGAACTGGAACTGAGGTTGACTAAAATGACCAAGAACTGGAACTGAGGTTGACTAAAATGACCAAGAACTGAGGTTGACTATAATGACCTAGATCTGGAACTGAGGTTGATTATAATGAACTAGAACTGAGGTTTATTACAGTGACCTAGAACTAAGTCATATTATGATGACCTAGACGTGAGGTTTACAATTGATGTCCTAAAATTAAAGTTGACTATAATGGCCTAGAACTGAGATTGATTATAATAACTTACAACTGAGGTTTATTACGATGAACTAGAACTGAAATTTACTACAATGACCTAAAACTAAAATTTTCTACCATGACCTTGAACTGAGGTTTACCAATTTACACTATATAATAAAACTTTATTTTGACTTCAATTTATTATATCTCATAGGAGTACTATAAAATACTTTATTATGAATGAATTAGTGAAAATAAAATCCAGCGAATATACCTTTTTTCCTATATTTTACATTCAACTTGTCAAAAATCAGTGAAAATAAATTCCATACAAAATACCCAAAATGTCTTTTCAGTGAAAATTAATTCCAGCTAAAATAAAGTATTTTACAGTGAATCATCAAAAATTAAAAAAAACACACTTAAAATGCATGTCTCCCATAGTTTGAATGTAATTTATGGAGCTGTTAATTTACAATTTTTATAAAAATTAAATTGAAGCTAAAATGAAGTCACCACCTGTATAAATATAGCTAATCTACATAGACAAAATACACAAGTTGCTAATGAGTTGTGCTCATAACATATATTAATGACAATAAATATTGTTTTCAGATTAAAGTATCTGTGGGATCCAGTGCCACCTGTATCCGTGCTTACAGACCTGAAGTATCTGCAAGTTTCCACAACAAGATTGTCATCAATTTCAAAACAACCACTGCAGATAATTTATTGCTTTATATTGGATCATCAGAGACTGTAAGTGAAATTGTTTTTGTTTATTAACCAGCAAGTGGTTGCTCGTTTGTTGTATGTACTTTTCATATGGTTTGTGTATACGGTAGATTATGACTTGTGTGCGATTTTTCAAAATAAATTTTTATATCTTTTACATATTAAACCAACCAGCATTTCATAGCGTATTCTGTAGACCTGTTGCCAATAAAATTATCTTCATTTTGTTCAAGTTTAATGAAAAATTATAGAAAAACACCTAAATTGGATTTTTACACCAAAATATTGGTGCGAAAAAAATGATGGTGCTTATAAGTGTTGGTTAACATATATTTTTTTATTTCCCACCAAAAAGTTGTCATGATAAAAATTTTTCAATGTGTTTTCATCTGTAGGCTGATGATTACATGTCTATGGAGACTATCCAAGGTAAAGTGAAGTTTCAGTGGGATGTTGGTGCTGGTATTGGAAGTGCCACTCACCCATTGAGTGTAACTGATGGACAGTGGTATAAAGCAGAAGCAGAAAGGTAAAACACTCGTCCTCATTTGGAACTGAATTTAAATATATTTGATTATTATCGTAAAACCTGTATTAGAAGTTGCATTCCTAATAGAAGTAGCACCAATTCTTTTTGAATAATTGAGAACCAAACATTCATAATTCTCATATGTGTAGATGCTCTAATAGAAGCCACATCCCCTCTTTTATATTGTACCATTTTAATAGAAGCCACGGTTTCTAATACAGATTTGACAGTAGTATTCATTATAAAAAATGTTATATCATAGATATTGGTATAAGAAGTTATAAAGCTATTTATATCATGATGCGTATAAACTTTCCCATAATGCACCATGCTCAATTTTGAATTTCTCCCTCGGAATATATTTGTAAACATGCTCCAGAATATGCTCAATTGATTCAGAATTTTCCTCCCATAATGCATTGTACATGTATGCTCAGTAGTTTTAGACCGCACGATGACATAAAAATTACGTGAATCTTCTTGATTTCTAGGAATGGACGTGCTGGTTCCTTGTCTGTACAGCTGTCTACAGCCAATACTGAACCAGATATTGTGATTGGTCAGGCCCCAACAGGGTATACAGTCTTAGATATTGATAGTAGTAGTGATCTATTCATTGGTGGTGTACCTGATAATTTTGAGGTATGTAATCACCCACAAATATACATGCTTGATCCCATAATCTGCGCTTGATCCCATAATCTGCGCTTGATCCCATAATCTGCGCTTGATCCCATAATCCAAGCTTGATCCCATAGTCAGCGCTTGATCCCACAGTCTGCGCTTGATCCCACAATCTGCGCTTGATCCCACAATCTGCGCTTGATCCCATAATACAAACTTTGACCTTATCAATAATAAGAGTTGCTGATGTTGACTGCTTGATAGGCTATCCTTGCACTGACTTTATGTCTTTCTTATAGAATAATGCATTAAGTGTGAAGTTGTTCAGTGGATGTATTGGTGAGACACTCATTGATGACAGTGTTGTGGGATTGTGGAATTTCAAAGACTCTGAGGGAGAGTGCAGTGGCTGCAAAGAAAGGTACATCACACAACAATATATCTTCAGATGTTGCTGTTCTAATGGTGCATTTAACTGATGCAAACAGTAAAGGATTAGTACCCTACTTTGTGTTTCATTGTCTTCTGTCATCACATCCACTGTTACTATGGTTACATAGATCAGGGGATTAGTGAACAGGAGGAGAGAAATGGAACACTATTCTCTCTCAGACCTTAGTAACCATTCATGTCTAAGGTCAACTATGTTAATAATTTGATATATTTAGCTTAGCTTTGTCTGTCATCGTTCGCATCAACTTTTCATTTTTTCAACATCTTCTTGAAAACTACAAGCCTGAATGCTTCGATACTTGGTGTATATGTACCTTGGACAGACCTCTCAGATTTATTCATTTCGTGATATCTTTAATTCTCTCATTTTGGTGAATATTTTTTGTCTTTTTTGGTAAAAAGTCATATAGTCATCTTCTTGATGAAAACCGCAAGTCTGATGGATTTGTTTATTTCGTGATATCTTCAATTCTTTAATTGAAATGTGCAGAGCAGAGCTATCTTAGTTGAGAGGCTGCTTGTTATAAAATGAGGATAAGTAGATCACTTTAATCTCACAAGTTTGGAAAAGACAAAATATTGTAGCAGTGATCGATTTATTGGGTCTTTTTGAAAGCTTCGCAAAATTTTTGCAAATTCTATCTACATGAAGATCCTCAAACCAACATATCAGATGAAATTGTACATTTCAACCAGACACTGTTATTAAATGTGTCATATTTGTTTTGAATTCAGTCCAAGACCATCTCCTACCGCTGATACATATCAATTTGATGGAACAGGTCATGTGATCATGCCTAAGATACGTAATTGGAATACGGAAACCACAGAATTACAACTTGATTTTAGATCGTTTGATGAAGATGCACTGTTGTTTTATATAGCTGCTGAGGACAAGGTAAGATCAGTTGAGAAAATAGTTAATAACAAATGCAGGGTAATTGTGTTGCCGTATGAGGCTAGTCGATAGGCTTATACTGTGTAGGTTGGTGCTGTAGCCAATCAGTAGTATCATGCCCTCAACCTAATGCATACCCTTTTAGTTCAAATAATTATAGAATTTTGTTATGGCATCCATTGTCGAATAAAGTTGTTTCCATTTCAAATGTTGTGGTGTGCCAAGCTACTGGAGGCAGGTAACTGGTATCAGCATTGTTATTCGTTGATCATGTTCTTGTTGTCTTTGGTTTTCTGGTTGATTACGCTACAATCGCAGGGAATGGCCATTCTATTCTGTATACAGAGTAAGGGTTCTATTTTCACTCAAAAGATGAATTAAATTTTTATAAGTTTTATCACTTTTTCAAAAATACTATCCCAAATCTGATGTCTAAGCAGTTAATGAATGTTTTGTTAAGATAGTGTTATAATAGACTGGTTGACATTGAACTCTTTCCCAGTGTATGCCACTTAGTTGCGTGAATCAAATATATACATTTCATAGGTTTTGAAACAAGATGGTGATTTTTAATTATCTTCATCCTGCTTGCTGTTCATAAGGGTGCACTTTTATTTAGTTAATTCTGTCATGTTCCCTTTTTATAGCGCCCTCTACCATAGTTAATTCTGTTGTGTGCC